GTTTTGTGTACTCACAACTGTAAACCTACTTTTGCCCCACCCTGTATTTTGGTGATGTTTTTATATCAGTCACTAAAGAACTGTGTCATCTTTCTCATGGCTGGATAGCAGCTCTTCTCAACCTTGGCACAGTTGACACTTGGACTGGAGAATTCTTTGTCGTGGGGGTTTCCTCTGCGTGGCACGATGCTTAGCAGTACCCTCACCTCTACCCACTAGATGCCCGTGGCACACAGCCACCACCTCCCAGCTGTGACCATCAAAAATGTCTCCAGACATTGCCAGATATCCTCTTAGGAGCAAAATAAGCCCTGGTTGGAACCTGCTGTGTAATATTCCATCATTTGGACGCCACAGTGATTTACATAACCAGGCCTCTATTGATGGACACTTAGGCTATCTAAAATTGTCACTATGAGCAACAATGCTTCAGTGATAACCCACATGCATACATCACGTGTGTTTTGGAGGGCTAACTTCCTAGCTGTGGGACTGCATAGGTCAGAGGGTTTGGGTATGTCATATTTTGGCAGGTGGGGCCAGTTTGCTAGAGGAAGTGTGTTCCGTTGGGGAGGGTCTACCTGACGTTTCCTGGGTTGTGGGACCCTTTGAGAATACCATGAAAGCTTTCGCTCTTCTCTCCTGGAAGAGACACATGGTTGGGTCCCCGAAGACAATTGAGGGGGCTGAGTGGAGAATCGCTGCCCCAGCTGAAGCGGTGTCTGATAAGAGCTGGCCTGGAGCAGGACATGGGAAGGGAGAGTGGCCTAGGGCAGGGCGGGTGGGCGGGTGGCGGGTGAAAGGCACACGGAGGCTGGATGGGCTGGTTGGGGAAACAACGCGGGGGTCTGGGAAGGCCAAGGGGGTTCAGATCACAAAGGAGCTTAGACACCATGTGGGAACTACTTCTTTACCTTGTGGGTACTGGGAGCCACGGAGGATTTTGCTTTTTTTTTTTTAATCAAAACAATTTATATACAGTAAAACTCATCATTTTTCAGTGCGCACTTCTGCGAGTTTTGACAAATAAAGACCTGCTGTGTTACAGCATCCACAAGCTACACATAGAACATTTCTGTCACCTTCCAAAGCTCGTCCGGTCATGCCCCTTTGTAGCTAACCCCTCCTTCGGTCTCAGCGACTGGCCACCACAGGTCTGTTCTCTGTCCCCATAGTTTTTTGCCAGCATGTCATTTAAATGGAATCATGCAGTTTGTATCTTTAGAGCTTGACTTCAGCACAATACACTGGAGATTTGTCTTTTCTTGCTGCAGGAAACCGCAGTTCCTTCCTCTCTATGGCTCCAAAGAATTCCGCTGTGTGCATGTACCTCAGGTTGTTTATCTGTTTTCCAATTGAGGGACATTTGGGTTGTTTATGATTTGGGGTGATTATGGATAACTGTGCAAGGTTTTGACGCCAGAGAGTGACCTAGGTAGATAGAACTAGCATTTTCAAGATGCTCAGCCCACACTGGGGGATGGGAGACCAGGCAGGCAGGCTGGCCAAGGGAGACAGTGTTGTTAGATGGCACTGGGTACTCACCGACCCTCCCCTCCGCTCTCCCTCTAGGGTATGGCCACGCCGCGCCAGGCACGGACTCAGGCAAGGTCTTCTGCATGTTCTATGCGCTGCTGGGCATCCCCTTGACGCTGGTCACTTTCCAGAGCCTGGGCGAGAGGCTGAACGCGCTGGTCCGGCGCCTCCTGCTGGCGGCCAAGCGCTGCCTGGGCCTGCCGCGGCCACACGTGTCCACGGAGAACATGGTGGTGGCAGGGCTGCTGGTGTGCGCTGCCACCTTGGCGCTCGGGGCCGCCGCCTTCGCGCACTTCGAGGGCTGGACCTTCTTCCACGCCTATTACTACTGCTTCATCACCCTCACCACCATCGGTTTCGGCGACTTCGTAGCGCTGCAGAGCGACGAGGCGCTGCAGAGGAAGCCGCCCTACGTGGCTTTCAGCTTCCTCTACATCCTCTTGGGGCTCACTGTCATCGGCGCCTTCCTCAACCTCGTGGTCCTGCGCTTTCTGGCGGCCAGTACCGACACGCCCGAGCAAGCTGCCCGCAGCGCCAGCCCGCTCCGCCTAGGGGCGCCCGAGAGCCGCGGCCACACCCTGCCCCGCCGAGAGGCTCTCCCCGAGGGCTCCTCCGTCTCCTACCGCATCCACCAGTTGGAGATGTGGGCCCGCGACAATCTGGGCTTCTCGCCCCCCGCGAGCCCTGGGGCTACGGGTAGCTGCGGCGGGACAGGCAGGCTCCCGGTCCGGCGGCAGTCCATCTGAACAGAGGGTCTTGAGTTCACCCATCAGTGCGCCTCTCCCCGCAGAGCTTGGGGAGGGGTGAGGGGCTATGGTCGCAATGCCACCTTCTGCCACAAGCGGGCTCTCATTCCCTTCCGTGGCTAGCCACTCTCTTCTCTCTAAAAATAAAGTGGAGTCATAACACAAGCACGACTTTAAAGCCACCTAGGAGGTGCAAATCCCTGTGGTCCAAGTAGTTTTAGGAGGGCATGACCAAGTCAGTCACTTAAGAGAGGCTCTCCCCCGGCCCATGTCACCATCTGGCCCTCTGGAGTGGAAACAGGTGGCTATTCTGCACGAAGTGGCCGGTTTTCCGTGCTGCAGGGGAAACGCAGGATTTTCAACGCTGGAATCCTACCCGTGGGGCCAGCTGCTCACACCATGAGAAGCGCAGAAAGGAGATGATCTAGGAACCCTCTTTCGCCCAACGCGGACCCATGGGCAAACCACTGCTCTATTTAAACAACTGCATTCCCTTGCTCAGCATGTACAATGGACGGGACTCGGCCCCTCTGGGAATGGACCACGCTTTCTCCCCGCCCAAGCTGATGTTCTGTCCTTGGCCAGCCCCACTTCAGGGTGAGGGGGCCTTGCCGACACCCGCCATGTCGCCGGGGCCACCTGGACGCAGCTGAGTGCTGTGAGACAAGCTCTTGTCTGTGAGTTGTGAGAACTGGGTCCTGGTAGTAACCTGCCATGTGACTTGGGGGAATCTCATCCCCGATCTGGTCCTCAGTTAAATCTCATCTGTAAAAAGACTGGGTTCATCTTGAATCCTGCTCCCTCCCATGTCCCTCTGCAAGAGGACATGGGCCCCAGGAGGGGCCGTTACGAGTGCCCATGGCGGGGCAGGCTGGTGTCCCCCAACACTCAGCTCCTTACAACACCAACTACCCTTAGCTTCCCAGACATGACTGTCTCAACACAAAGCAGAGCAAGACAAGTTAGAAAAGCCAAAAACTTTAATTTTCAACATGAGCTACATGGTCATGAATACAATGCAACGTGACCCACTCCAACCCAGGGGCCGGGGAAACCCTCCTTCCCCAAAGGCCCGAGGGGCTCCTGCTCCTGGGAAGGAAGGGTGGGTGGGTGGATGGAGAGGCCTCAGCCTGAGGATCCGGGGTCCTGCCTTCCTGCCACCTTCTCAGGAGGCATCGAAGGAAGGGCCCCAGATGTGATGTCTGAGGCCCTGGGTTCAAGTCTCCACTTTGCTCTCACAGAAGCTATGAGTAAAATGGGTGCGAACAGCGTCCCTCCAGGGTGAGTCAGATGAGCTCATGGACATGAAAGCTTTACTGTCACCGAGGTGCTGCCATACAGACACGGGGCCCTCCCAGAAGGCGGTGGGAGTCACTACTGGGGGACAGGGATGGCTCGGTCCCCTGGGCCTGGCACAACGCTGCTGCTCAATAAATAAACAGGTGGCCTTGCCTGACGCAACAGCTGTGCTCCAAGGGGAGGGGCCTGGTGCTGTTCTGAACACCGAGTGCACCCCGGAGTCCCTGGTTTAAGGAACTGGGTGGCGAATCAGCTGGTAAAGTGCCTAACCACCCCTAAACGGTTTCGCCTGCCAGTGTAGAAGAAAGAGCTCGGAACTGCTGGAGAGCCGAGTCCAGCCTGAGCTCGGCTGCTCGCTCACAGCAGCCCCGGGCGGTACCTTCCCCTCCCAGGGCCTCCGCTGCCCCCTCTAAACTGGGGCTGGTAAGAGACCCCCACCTACTGCCCAGGGGCTCCTGTAAGGGTACACTGGAGGTAAAAGCACTTTGAAAACAAAAAAGTTTGAAAAGTACTCCAGGACGATCAGTTATTATTACAGCTGAAGGTTTCATGAGGACTTCCTTAGATGGGGTGTTCTGGAGCAGCCTCACACCCACGCGGCCCCAGGCAGGAACTGGCGCTTCTAACCTCCCTCCAGTTGGTTCTGGAGGGTTACGGCCCCTCCGTGGGAGCCCCCACCCATTCGCTAAGACCCCGACCAAATCCTCAGTCAGCTGGGCTGGCCCCCCAGGAGAGCGAGGCGTCTGTGGCAAACCTCTTCCCCAACCTGGGCCCGGAAAAAATTGCTGGCCCGTGGAGGTGGAGCCAAGCATGGCTGGGTGGCCCAGGGCTGAGGCGGCCACAAATACTCATAGCAGACATGCCCTGGAGCGATGGTCTCCTGTCCCATGGATGGAGGAAGCACAATGGAACCCTGTTCTGTCCCCACCGCTCACTTGCTGAGGGGTCTTGGGCAAGTCACTTCCTGCTTCTGGGCCTCAGTTTCCCTACATCTCAGATGGGCTACAATTTGCCCCGCCCATCCTTTCCAGGCCTCTGGGAGGCTCCAATGAGAGAAGGGGAGAGGAAGGGTGGTGAGAAATGGTGGCCCCCCTCCTGCCGCCCTGGCTCCAGCTCAGCCTCAGGTAGGAGGAGGAGGCTCAGGCTGGGGGTGCCAGTGAACTTACAGGTGACCCCAGGCGCAGCCAATTCTGCACTGGCCGCAGTCTCCTCGTCAGTCGGTCAAATGGAAATGGTTTTACCAATGGTCCCAAAGCCTCTTTCCCTTTAGTATGAAAAGTGGCTTCTGGAGAAGGAAAGTGGAGACGACTCCCTCCAGGTTACCTCTGCTGACGACCTTTGGACCAGAGGCTGAAAAATAAAACCGTCCCCAGCCCCTCCCCACCCAACTCCCCCCAACTCCACCCTCTCTGATCCTCTTCGAATGGTGGAGTTTAAGCTGCAAAGGATCTGACAGCAGTGGGGACAGGCTGGGCTTGAAGGTTCCCGAAGCTAATAATGAGAATAGTCACCCCTTCCCCAACCCCTATCCCTGGGTGAGGACGGACAGTGGTTCCCACGCCAAATGGTCTGAACCCCTTGGAAGGGGGCACGTGCTCACGATGATGATACAAAGAAAAAGGGCTCCAGCCCCCACTCACCCCACCCCTCCGGGAGGCGGGCTGAGATTTCACAGAACAAACAAGGAAATCCGTGAGGGGGCCCTCGGGGACCACCCCCAGGATGTTGTTATTGCTTTGGAGCTCTCTCTCTCTCTTTAGAAAGGCTGTGCAGACCCCAGAGGGTGGGCTCAGGCTGGGGGGCGCCGAGCTCCCTCTCCTCCTGGTTGGGACAGCCTGGCTTTGCCCCGTCCTTGGAAACTACCCCTGTACAACCAGAGCGGTGATGGCTGCAGAGAGAGAAGGTGCTCTCCTGGCTCAAAATATTCCAAATGGCGAGTAATAAACGAATAGCAGAGAAATCACGCTGGTTTAAAAAAAAAAAAAAAAGGTGAGGGGTTGATTCTGGGCCTCAGATGCGAGTCCATCCAGAGCCCGGCTGCCTCCTGCCTGATTCTTGGGGTTCCACCCCCACAAGCCCCCAAACTCGGACGGCCTCCTGGGTGGAGAGGCCTCCCCATCGCCCCTTCCTGGTGCAGCGTGAGAAGCTCCATGGAGGTGATCGAACTAAACCAGACTTGAAGGGGCGCCCAGGGCTCAGACAGGCTGTGGGGGTGTGGGGGGGGAAGGGAGGGATTCCAGGTGAAGGAATCACCTGGTCAGTAGCCGATAGTGGAACCAGGGCCAAGGTGGGACCAGACAGCCTGGTGTCCTCAGCAGAAAACGACCCCCTTCTGACAGCATCCAGACCCCCTCCACCAAAGCCCACATCCTCAGGAATGCTTCATAACTGAAACCAGTGCCAAGGACGATAAATCAGAATGTCTGAGTATAGTGGGCAGCTCCAGCTACAACCCTACAGGGGGAGGGGAAGGCGGTGGGAGAAGGAATGGCAGGCCCCCTGAGCCCCAGGCCCAGGCCAGCAAGGAGCGGTGGTCTCCTGGAATGTACTTGTGTCTCCTCTCCACCCCGTCCTGGGACTCTGTGAGAACTATGTGCGAGCTAAGAACAGGGCCCAGGGCTTGGAACACTAACTCTACCCAGCTAACCTGGACTACGCCCTACACAGCAGGGACTGGGCAATGAGGGGTGGTGGGCTGCTGGGTGCCTCCCAGGGGAGGTGGCAGAAATGTGCTTCTATAAAGAGGGGCCAGCCCGGGTCCTCCCCAGCATGCAAAAGGGCTTCCGGAGGCCCCGGGGAGGGCTGGGCCAGGAAGGCAGCTGCCCAGGCCTGCTTGAGAAGGATTCTCCCGGCTCTGAGACTCATACCTCTCCTCTCCTTCTCTCCTTGAGCCAAGGTGATTGAGGCCGGGGCAGTGGGTTCTGCTCATAGTACACGTGGTTTGTTTAAAAAGACTAAAATAGGGGAGCTCCGTTGCCTCCCCAGACCCCTCTACTGGAGGCAGAGGAATACACAAGATGGCCTTTGACCTCATCCAACAAGAAGGGAGTCTCCTCTTTGGGAAGCCCTCACCTTGACACCACCAGTCCCAACCCCCGCTTTCCCTGGACTCCCTCCCCAACCCAGCAGCACCCCAAAATGCAGAGCCAGTAAGCTCTCTGGGCTCAGGGTTCTGGAAAATCAGGGTCCTGCAGCTCGTCCACCAAAACACAGATGACCAACGGGCTTCTTCCAGTCCCACAGTTTCCAAAAAAACTTGTTTCAGTCCCACAGAGCAAGGCACCTTGGGGGTCTGTGCCAGGCCCCGGGCACCTCCTTTCCTCTGTCCCTGTAGGATTCCAGTTCCACTGGAAGAGGGGCAGGCGGGAGGGGACAGACAGATGGACTCGGACAGGCTGCGGCAAAACTCCTTCCACTGGCAGGCGGAGGGAGGCCAGAGCTCCTCTTCAAACGGTGGTGGGGGGTGGGGCTGTGGGCCCCCCTAAGCTGGCTCCGGATTCTTGCAAAGCTGCCCCATCAGCTTTGGGGCAGGTGCAGCTGCCTGAACCCGGTGCCGCAGGAAAGACACTTGCTGGTAGTTGGCACCATGGAGACGGCCGCTGGGTTCTGGACGTGGCTCCGGGCAGCGAGCTTCCGAGTATGCAAAAAGGGGGAGCCGTCAGACGGCATCTGGGGCAGGAGAGTGGTTTGCTCTGCCACCTCGGTCTTTCCCTTCTCCGGACTGCAGCCACATCCACCAGGTCATGAACTGGCCAAGTCAAAAGTGCAGCCAATCCCACTGGGAGAGGAAAGGTCTCAGGGGATAGGAGGCAAAGAAGGGGTGAGGAGGGTCCCAAGGGGGGCGGGTCTCCCCGTTTTGCTTCCTCACTGTGGGAGAGAACCCCGTCGTCCTCTGTTCGAGGTGCCCCTGGGCCCAGGGTCCCAGGTCGGGGCTGGGTGGTCTCCAGGCCATCTCGGGGAGCCCCTCCCCATCCCTGGCACTAAGATCGCTCGCCGCAGGGTCCCACGGTGCTCTCAAGGGACAACTGGGATGCCTGCCGAAGCAGGGGGCCCGTGGCTGGGTCCACCATGGAGGAGGTGGGGAAGAGCTTGTACCAGCCCACGGCAAGGGTGGTCAAGTCCAGCTCCTCCAGCAGCACGCGGGCCACACCCATGAACTGCTTCCGCTCCATCCGCCCGTAGTTCCCCCACACGATCACCTGTGGGGCAAGAGACACAGTATTCCAATCGCTCAGTGCCACTCTCAGGCCCACAACCGGACGTTTGATGCACCCCCAGGCCTGATCCACCTCCGAGTCCTGTGGATCTGACCACTTCCAATTGCTGGCTCCGGGGCTGCCGTCACGGCTCGCCTAGGGGACTGCCTTCCCGCCGCCGGTCTCGCCCTCTCCGTTCCAGTCCATCCTTCACACTCCCCACCTTCGAATCCAAGTCTTGCGGGCTGAGCCGATGTATCATGAGCTCCCTACCTGCTTCCCCCATGGGCCCTCTGCTTCCAGAGCCTCGGAACCCCCCTGGTGAAATGAAGTGTTAAAAAGTGGCAGGTATTCTACACGCTCAGTCTCTGCATGGTCTTCTGGTTGTTTTAAGTTGTATCTGAAAGGTTTCTACAAACTTCCTGAACCAGGATCATCCTCCCAATGGAAGCAAGTGCCCCATCCAAGAGGATTTACTTTACTATGCATGAGAAATGTCCTCTCTCCTACCTGTTCCACTGAAAAGCAATTGTTGAGACCAGCTAAACTGATTTCACAACTCAATGGTGGGTCTCAATCCACAGGATGACAAACTCTGTCCTAGACAGGACCCCGGCTCCCCAATTTAGCAAAAGCCCCACTGCCTGGGCAATTCGTAACACCTCGGCCCCACCCTCACTGGCTCTGCCTGCCTGGGCGAGGAGCAAGAAAGTAGGTACAAGCCAGAAGTGCCCAAAAGGCAGCTCCGAGAGAGACCAGGCACATGGCTTCTGCAGGCACCTGACGTGGGTCTTGCCTGTGCCCACAACGGGCAGCTGTTTCTGGCTCCAGGTCTGAGTCACCACTGGGATTCTCCTAATGGCAGAAGGACCAAACACCTGTCTGGGTGCTAAAAGGCTCCCAGTTTATTATCACTGTGCCTCAGGACAAGGTCCTGGCCTCCAGAGGTTGACGACGATGACAATTACGATGACGACAATGATGATGATGACGGAAGCCATTTGTAGAGCACTCACTATAGGCCAAACTTGCAAATACTTTTCTTGCACAAGGCACATATTTCACTGTTACTGTCACTGTTATCAGTGGGTGCTATTAGTGTCCTCATTTTACAGATGAAGAAACTGAGGCTCTGAAAGAAACTTGTTCAAGGTTGCACAGCAAGCTGTAGAGCTCTGATCAATACGGCACTCTACTTTCTCAGGGGAGGCCCTCCCCAGGGGCGCCTCCCTCTTCCCCAATACTGCAGGTGCAGGCACGGATGCACGTGCATGCGCGCACACACATACACCCCCCCTCACCTGCAGGACTTTGCCCTGGGGACTCTCAGGAAACAGCAGCACCTGGTTATACAATGGGTCCAGTGACTTGCGAGCAACTTTGGTCTTCTTCTTGGCAATGCAGACGCCATTCTCCAGCAGGTAGGCCTTGATGTAGGCCGCTGAGGACAGAGGCCGGCAGGTGAGCTCTAGTGTGGGGCTCAAATGGTTGCCCACCACTGCTGGGCTCAAAGTGCCCCCCTGGGGCCTGGGGAGGAGACAACGGGACTGAGCCAAGTAGTGGGAGTGTGGTGGGGCACAGCCAGGGCTGGCGGGACTTACACCACCCCCTCAGGTGGTCCTGCAAGCCTGCCCCCTTGCCTTGCTCACTCTGTACTCACCTGTTTCCCTTCTGTCTCTGACTCACCCAACCCTTCCCTGGCTTATACACTCATTGCTACCCATTCACTGAACAAATGTCTTCTGATCGCCCACTGCATGCCAAGCCCCCTGCCAGGCACTGGGGAATAAGCATAAACAGGATAAACGGTGCCTGCCCTCCGGGAGCTCAGTCCAGCCGAGGAGGCTGACAAGGTCAGCTGACAATCTCTACTGAGTCCCCAGAATGAACCCTGAATCACCAGTTCTTTGTGAGTCACTAGAGTTGGAACAAAGGAGTCCTCCACGGTGGGTCTCAATTTTCTCTCTTCTAAACACAGATATCCCTCCAGACGTGCTCCCCAACCTCCACCCCGCCTTGCAGGGGGAGGGCACCCCGCACCTGGCAGTGTCTTGGAGCCTGGCTTGGCCGTCAGTCCCCGAGCCTGGATGATGTCCACTTCGAGCTGACCATTCCGCTCCTGCAAGCCAATCTCCACATCCCCTGAAAGAGACCTCAACAGATGAGACTGTGAAGTGGCTTCTAAGCTCAGTCAAGGACTCAGATACTCCTCTCTGCTTAGGATAAAATCCCCTGCCCCTGGTCCCAAATAAGACTGGTCCAAAGTAAGACCAGAACCACCTCCCACAGCACATGCCTCGGCTCCACTGAGGGCTTGGCAGGTACGGACCAGGCTCCAAGCTGGGTGCTCAGGGGATGCAGCCGAGACTGAGGGGAAGAAGGGGGAGACACAGGGCTTCCCGCAGGCCCCTTCTCTAGAACAGGCCTTGGGGCACTCACCCATCGGTGTGGTGGCCAGGGTCTGGCGGCCCACAAACTGCGCCGGCCCCATGCTGCCCAGGAAGTCACTGAACTGCGCGTCCGATGCCAAGCAGACTCCCCCATAGTTAAGGCTGTAAGAAAGGACGAGATAAAAACAAATGTTCTCAGGGGCAGACCGAGCACTCAGATGACTCACACGGTCAACTCCAGAACGCCCCTCATGCCGCGAGGATTCTGTCCACATCCATCACCAGCCTCAGGCAGACCTACGTCCTGTCTCCCTCTCCTTCCCGTCTCCACGGCCCTGGCATCTCCTGTACCATCTCCCTCCCTCTCCTTGCTGAGCCTTAGGTGCCACCTTCATGAAATGGGCCAGGTGACACCTGCCGCTTGGGTGGTTGTAGGAATCTCGGGAGATAATGCTCGTCAGTGCCTGGCTCCTATGGTTTAATGCCGTGGTACTCAAAGCACGGTCCAGAGACCAGCATCAGCTGAGAGCTAATCAGAAAGAGCACAGCTCTCCGCTCCACCCCCAGCTGCTGAATCAGAATCTGCCTTTTGACATGATCCCCAGAAGAGTCATCTGCACCAGACAGTTTGAGATGCATGGGACCTGTGGCTCAACCGTGGACGCCTGCATTTGTTGCTGCTGTGGGCTGTCAAATGTCTGCCCTGCTCCTTTGGGAACAAGATCTCAAATCTCCTTTGGGGCATCCCTTCCCCAAGCGATTGATTCCTACGGACAGGAGCAGACCTGGCTCCACAGGCTGGTGTGAGCTCAGCCTGGCCAATCCTTCCCTTGGTCGTGAGCAGCTCAAAGATCGGCTCAACTCAGCCCACAGGACTCTGGCTGGGAAGCTTTCTTCGACCTGCAGGAGTGAGAAGCACCTTTTTCCCTACCAGACTTGGACCTGAAACAGACTGGAGCCTCCAGCAGCTAGCTACCTTACAACCACCTGGAGTCCATGAATAAAGCCCTCGAACTGGTGGCATCGTGTGAGCTTCTGGATCAAGCTCTGCCTGAAGCAAGCAAGATCTTCATTTTATTTTCTTGAGTTACACAAGTCAACAACAACAATTACAATAATATATTTTGCTTAAGCCAATTTTTAGTTAGTTTTCTCTTTCCCAAATGGGAATAAGAAGCTTCCCACCTCCCAGGTCTCAGCCATGTGAACGGCCTACCCTCACAAAGAGCCTCAAACTACTAACTACCCAGTCCTGGCCACTCAGCTCTCCCTCAGTCACGTGAGACACCCCAGCATCATCCTAATAAATTCTGTTTTTACTTAGGTTATCAGCAGTCACTGGCAGGATAATAATTTGACGTTTTAGCCTTTGTGCTTCTCATTTTCCTGATTTCCTCCCACCCTGTCACCCTTTCCCCATCCAGGTAGTAGCCAGGGAACAAGACAGTCAGATTCTTGGCTTTTGGGCTTCACATCTAGAAAGAAACAGACGTAGGAGAACAGGTGAAAACTAGGTGCTGCCCTGCCTCCGAATAAAGAGGCAAACAAACAGCGCCAGCCTGGGAGAGCAGAGGAGGTCAGGGTGGGAGGGAAGAGGGCTGGGAGGAGGGAAAACCCTCGAGGAAGGCCTGGGTCCCCGAGTGGGGCTGGCGGGGCTGCAGGATAACAGGAAACCCCAGCCGGGCCTGGGAATCTGAGCGCAGAGGGGGCTTGTGCCATCCTCCCCACTGGGTGGGGCTGAGTACGGGGCACGATGCTTTGCCGCAAAGGCTGCCTGGAGTCTTGTGAAGTGAACCTGTGAGACTCAGCTCCAGCGGCCCTCCAGGTCCCAGAGGGGAGCATATGTTCCCGCTGCCTGCAAGGGAAGGCCCAATCAAGGCTGACGCAGAGTGGCATTTGAATCCAAGCAGCCGGGCTCCCGAGTCTCTCAGCTCAACAATTATGCAACAGCATCAGAGAGAAACTGCAGGAAAAATACCTTCAGTGTCTGGGGATAGAAAGGAGCACCCATTATTCTTGCGAACCCAAGGACCCTTAATTAACAGCACCACAGCCAAGGCCCCAAGTCGCTCGCCGGGACTGCCGACATGGCCTTCCCTCCATGCCCCTCTTTTCCACACCGTCCTCCTGGCCACTTGGGGAAAGAGGTCCAGGGGCTCCAGAAGCCCCCAGAATGCTGGCGCCTCTTGAATTCCAAGTCACTGAAGGGGCCCAGCCTCCCAAGCAGAGCTGGCCTTCTACAGCGTGAAATTGAAAGTTTCCTCCAACATCGTCATTGTCTGCTCCTCAGTTCCTGGTAGGATTGTGAGCAGACAATGGGGAACTGGCAGGCCTGGTAATTAGCAGTAATTGTTTATAATATCTGGGCGGCTGCCTGATTTCCCATTCCAGGGTGCCTTGCTGGCTGCCAAGGGACCAGGCAGGTGCCCCAGAAACCCTGAATGGGTTATCACATCCTCCGTGGAGCTGGAGGAAGGAAGAATACAGCGGCGGCCAGTCCCCGCTGGCCAGAGGCCCAACTGCATCAGAGACCCCACGCCACCTACTCTCGGGAGTAGGACGAAAAGCAGCGGATACAAAGTCAGAGCTGCTTCTACTCCTCACAGTCAACCACTGGCGAGCTGTGGGTGTCTCCGCACTTGAATCGTTTTCTTGGGCAATAAGACCACACCTACCTCACAGACAGTGTGCGACCATTCCCGTGGAGGGTGCTGGTGCTGTATCCGTTTTAAATGTATCCAAAAATCCCTGCTCAATTGGATCCATTTGCAAATGGGTAGGAAAGAGCTTGCTGAATTATTACCACACACCTGCCACTACACAGACCATGCCTCATACGCTGCAGGAACGCAGTAAATGTTCACTGCCGAACCCTTCAGCGGGTCCCACGCTGGGAAAACATGGTGGGTAAGACTGGACTTTGGCATAATGCAGACCTTGGATTCCAGTGCTGTGCAACCTGCGGTAGGTTTTGTACCCTCTCTGAGCTGCTGTTTCCTCATATAAAAAATGGGAATAAACCGTAATTGCCTTGCTGAGTTGTTGGAGAGAGGCGGTGAGACAACGCAGGCGAGGCTCCCGGCAGAGGACCAAGCACACAGTATTTGCTGAACGAATTAAGGATTGTGATACCGTGGCCTGTTACCCAGCTTGGGAAGCCTCTTCTCCCTCTTTGGCGTTTTCCTGGAGTTTCTGACTGCAGACCTGTTAGGAAGTGCAGCCTCTGGGTGTGAGACCAAGCCCGGGCCAGGGGTGGAAGGGGTGGGGGCTGCAGTAGGGGGGTCCTCCCAGGGGCACATGCCACACGGGGGCCGGAAACAGGATTACAACCCGTGTTCCGCCGGCCTTTTATTTTGTGTTACTGGTCAAATGAGATTATCTGCATTTCAAATCCTGTTACTTTTGTTTCAGGAGCTGAAGCCCATTTGTCTTTTATTATTAACCTTCCAGCTCAGTTTGGCCCTGGATTCTCCACGCTCTCCATGGTTAAAGAGGTAATTGGGTTATTGGGGGTTCGACTCTATTCTCTCTTCCAGACGGATCATCTGTCCCAATTGCATCTGAAATTAAAAGGCTGCTCAGCCCTTGTGGTGATTATGGGTCGTGTGGTTCAGAAAGGCTTTAGGGGTTTATGGTCTCCCTGTCCGTCCGTCCCCGCCTGCCCCACCCAGCCAGCCGCCATCCACCGTCCCGCCGGCTTGCTGAGCCTACCATACAGCCAGTGCTGCTGTAACATGAAACATACATTCCTAAAAACTACTGAGTGTGCGAGCGAGCTCCTGCAAAAAAATCACAGAGCTTATGGGGAAGGGGGGGGCGCCCAATACCCAAATGCTACGTCAGTATCACATCCAAAAAAAGAAGACAGGCAGAGACATGGTAAAAATGGTAGCAGTCTTACACATATTAACTGGTTAGGAAATGCATAAGTACTACAGTAAGTATGGCGCTTTACCTTGAAGATGACCTGAAGAAAGACTGCAGCCTGGGACTGACTGCTCGCAGGGGCAGTGAGGGGCAGGGGGGCTTTTGCAATGGGACAGGAGGGGGTAACACAGCGGTGCGGGGGACCCACGGGAGCGGAGGGTGCAGGCCCTGTTCGGGGCTGTGTGTGCCTGGGCGCTCCTGTGTGGGTCCCAGTTTTCTGTGTTCACTTAGAGCTTCTCGTGGAGGAAGTCGTACCTGAGTAAAGGTAAAATGTGCACTGTGCTCAAATGATTCCCTAATACTTCTCTCCGGTTGGAATAAATTGACTTTTCAAAACAAGCGCTGTAGCAGCATTGACTACACGGCAGGATACAGAGCATCGCACAATCCTGACTCCAGCTTCTCCAGCCTTTAAGACGTTTCCAAACCTGCCCCTTCTCACCTGCCATAACAGTGTGGCTCACGGACACGAGGCCAGGGGTTTGATTTATTTTATCAAAAACTTACCATGAGCCGAGCACTCATAGTACTAGGTTATCAACGTTAACTCATTTAATTCTCATCTGCAGTAACAACTCCATGAAAGCTAGGTACTTCTTACCAATACCCATTTTACAGAAGGGGAAACCAAGGCACAAAAATGTCCAGTAACCCAATCAAGATCACCCTGCTACTAAGTGGCAGACCTGGGGTTTGAACACTGGGAGTCTGGTCTAGAGTTCATCTTCTTAACCAGTCTGCTATACTGCCTCTATGTGCCCTGAAGAGACCATAGCCTTGCCCAGCACAGAGCACAGGGATTTGCAGTTCAAGCTCTGGGGTCAGGCAGGCCTGGATTTGAATCCTAACTCCCCCTCACTGGTTGTGAAGGCACACTCTTCACCTCTCAGAGCCTGGGTTTCCTTTCTGGTGAAGTAGGAATAAATAATGATAGGACACCCCCTCGATCCTGTTGTAAATATTAACTGAGATGAACTTGGAACGGGACAGACTCTGGCAGTCAAATATACATACTAGTGTTTATAACCCACCCCCAGACCCGCCTCCTAGCCCACAGCCACGGCCAGCCCCGGTCTGCCCTTTGGGCACGATGACTGTGCAGACAGCAGAGGTGGGCAAGTGTAAAGGGGCCTGGCCACCCATCCAGCCTCCTGGGCTTTTGGTGATGAGCCAACAGCCATTGGAAGAATGAGTTCCTGGGCTTAGGTGCCCAGGTGGCCCTGCCATCGGCTCACACTCTGCTTTCTAGGGCTCTGCGCACAGTGACCCGGACACAGAGGGAGCTGGATGATGATGACCCAGACACCTTGGGACAACAAGGAGCAGAGGGAAGGGACAGGAGGGGTGCTGGCAGCTGCTCTGAGAGCATCGGGTTACAGAGAGGATGCTGAGGCCTCGATTCTGTGCCATGAAGGAGACTGGGAAGGAGCGGGGAGAAGCAGGATTTGTACACGCTCCTGCTCCCGGTGCCTACCCATTATTCAATGAAGTTTCCAGAGCATCATCTGTGGGCCAGGCCCCAGTGTCCAGTGGGACAGACAGACACACACACGTGACAACTACTACAGTGTGGAGGGTTCTGTGATGGTGGAAGAATGAACTGGAAACTCCTGACTCAGTCAGAGGAATGGGAGACCGTGCCGCCCCATGTCCCCTGCCCACGCCCAGGGCAGACATTGCTAATCAACCTCAACGCTCCTGCCAAGCTTGGTCTGGGCTCCAGAATCCTTCTCAACACAACGCACCAGAGAGCCATTATCAATTAACTGGAGCTGGCACATGAGATAAAGCTTACGTGCCAGTTCTTAGCTGAGGTCTAAGAGGAAGGAGGAATGAGTCAGAGGATGTGGCGGGAGCAGGGCAGCCAAGGAAGTGCCAGGGGTAGGGAGCCACGGAAGAAAGAGCTGGCAGTGAGACGGGAAGTGTGAGAGGCTCAGGGCGCTGGGGCAGAGGCACGGGGCTGGGCACGGGGAGGGGCTGGCAGAGGCAGTAACGGCTGAGCGGCAGACTATGGGCACTCACAGGGATCCAGGCCGGAGCGATAGGCAGCTCTACTAAAGGTGCAGAAATGGGGAGAAATGGATGGAGTCAAGAGATAATTAGGAATGAAGGAGTAGAGCCCAGAGTGGATGAATCTGGAATTTGAGAGGTGGGGGGCGTCGGGGAGAACCCTGAGTTTCTGATTTGGGCAGCGGGATGCGGTGCCGTGCACTCGGACGGACGGGGGAACAGCCTCTGCGGGACCCACCCCTCATACCCCCCTGAACCGACCCTCACCGCCTCGCATTGACTTCTAACTGCCAGCACATGCGTTCCCTCTGGCTCCCGAGGAATCTCTCAGCCCCCCAGAGCCCTCTGTGGTGCAGGAAGAGCAGGAGGGGTAACTGGGGCAGCCGCTCCCCAGTAACTGATGAGTCGGAGTGTAAGTCCCTCAGCTCCCTCGCCTCCCGGGGGATGACTCTCAGGCCCATGCTCCGCCCTGGCTCCGAGCCCCTATCAGGACGAAGCTCTGCTCGCCCACAGTGGCAGCTGGCCTCTCAAGGCACATGTTACGGGATGCCTCCCCGGCCCCATATCCCTCCCGTGCCCCTCCGCCATGGCAGTCACCTCCCATGACCGACCTACATTCAAATGTGTGTCTCAGGTCGGGTTCTGAGGAAGCCACGCCAAAGCAGACGGTCCCCAGGCGGTATCTCAAGATTCTCCAGGGAGATACTGTCCTCATAGTCCTTTTTCAGGGGGCTTCACCTCCACCCTTTGTCTGGGGGTGATGAGCCCCCTGGTGGGGGGAGCTTGGCTGGCTGCCAGACCCACAGCAGTCCGCTTCCATCCTTGACGTTCAGAACCCCAGTTTTCAGGCAGACACAAAGGGGCTCAGGGAAAGAAAGCCCACATACTGGGGCCTATGGAGAGAACACTCAGGGCCCTTGGTGGCAGAAGTTAGCCATCAAACCCTCCTGGAATCAGCTACCTCCAGAAATAGACGCAGCCATTAAATGGGGGAAAGAGTCCAGTGTAAGGGTTAAGGGCTGATTCCAAAGGCCTGGATTTGAATCTCCGCATTTGAAGCCACTGGCTGGCTGTGTGACCTTGGGCAAGTTAATGGACCTCTCTTGGCTTCCATTTTCCTGTCTGTAGAATGGGGATCATAGCAGTCCAGAGCACCCAGTTGCTCTGAGAATTAAATGAGTGAACACGTGTCAAAGCACGTAGCACAGCGTCTGCACACAGTCAGAGCTCGGTGAGCGTGAGCTCTGGAAACCACTACAGTTAGCCAGGGCCGCCCAACCATAATGTGTGCACGAACCTCCTGGGGTCGCTGCTAAAATGCAGACTGAGTCAGTGGGCCTGGGATGGAGCCTGAGATGCTGCGTTTCCGCCAGGCTCCTGCAGGATGCCAGCGCCGCTGGGCTGTGGACCACACCCCGAACAGCAAGGGCTGAAGCCACTCCAACCTGGTGCAGTGTCACCTGGAGCTCAGGGGCCTTCACGGACAGAATGATCCAGCCCATAGGCACCCAGTCCCCAGCCCCAAGACCTGGGTAGGACGCAACATTTCCCAACTTCTCCATGCCTATCCTTTGCAGCTCTCACCATTGATAGTTGCTTCGTCAGAAGAGGGTAGGGTCCCCCAAGGTGACCCACCCAAGTGTCTGGTGCGCTGTTGGCATCCAATCCCATTTCTTGAAATAAAATGCACATGGGAGCACCCCAGTGCCCACTTGCGGGAACATTCATGCCCAGTGGTCCAGTGCCCGGGGCAGAAAGGCCTAGAAGCGCCCAGGGCTGCAGGCTGGCGGGGGCTGCTCAAGCAGGCTGGCTCCCCGCACGCCTCAGCTGGGCTGGCAGAAGCCCAGGAGGAGGACGGTCACACCCCCTCCTGTCTCAGGGCCTGGCATCTGGGTCCTGCCAGTGCCCAAAATACCTCCAGAACAAGGAGGATGCCAACCACAGCTCACGGTCCCCCCCTGTCCCTTCACCTTCCCTTCTTCACCCAGGTGTTGGATGGGGTGGGGTAGCACCTGGCTGAGCTCAGCCCCTCTCAGGAGGGCAAGACTCTGCCTTCTACTGGACCCTGCACCCTCCAACCCACCCCATCCTCCCTCACCTGGAGCCTTTTAATAATTGTGAAGCCAGCGCTTATCTTGTGCTTACTCTGTGCTGAGCACTTCACAGACGCGATTGTATTTAGGGCGCGCCCTGTGACCATGAGGATGCAACTGACCTCAAGGAGCAAAACGCTGAAACACTGGCGGCTAAGGCAACAACAAACACCAGTCATCATAGTGAGTAACAACAGCACTTGCTCCGTGCCAGTCACTATTCTAAGTGCTTTCACATATATTGACTCATTTAATCTTCACAACAACTTTATTTCCTTCCTACGCTGCTCCCCTTGGAGAAAGTTGTGTGGCATCTCCGAGCCTTCATTTCCTGTGCTATATATAAAACGGGAATATGGGTTTGATTTCCCGTTGCTGCTCACTGCACCACACTGCCCTCCCACGACCTGGTCCTCCAAGCCACCTGGAAACCAACAGATGAGATGTTTGCTGGCCTTCTGAAGCCTGGACAGGCCAAGGAACGAGTCCAAGGCCCCTCGGGGTCAGTGGCAGAGCCAGGACTAGGACCCAAATCTCCTGACCCCCTGCAGCTCAGCAGGGACCCACTGCTGCTCAGATGCCCAGAATATCTTCCTGCAAGTTTTGCTGCTTTGCCAGTTTCTCAGGTTAAAGAAAACATTTGTTCCCTTCCGCCTCTCCTCCTCCTCCTCTCGCCCTCCGGAAAGTCTCCCGAGGAGGTGGGTGGGACGGCAGCATCTGCCAAGGCGAGGCCACTCACAGCGGCCAGGGATGCCGGGTTTAGGAGGGGCTGGGGATGGGACGGCTTTCCGCCAGCAGGAGCCCCCAGCTGCACAGCAGGGCCCGAAATGGGGGGCAGCCAAGGAGCAGGCCAAGCCCTGTGCTATGCCTTTTATAAAAATGAGTCCATTTAGTCTTGATGACACCCTATGAGGTTAGTGTTTATCCTCCTTTTACAGATAAGGAAGCTGAGGCACAGACAGATGACCTGACCAAGGTCACACAGCTAGTGAGTGAGTGGTGGAGCCGGGATTCAGATCTAGGCACCTGAGTCAGGCTAGCCTCACCCTTCCTCAGCGCTTCCGGGCTTTGTCATCTCTCTTCTGGAGATGGGACGGCCCAGGGGCCTGCAGCCAACGCCGCCCCCCCCCCCGCCCCTGGCCCAGGCAGAGTCCTCCCCCCAATGCCGGGGAGGGCTGAGGGCCAGGCCGGGCTCCACACTCACTTGCCCTCGGAGCCGTAGCTGTTCATGCTGTCCTCGATGGACTCGTGGCTGGCCTGGCGCAGCGTCCGGCTGGGCATCTCCACCGCCAGGCCCGTCTCTGTGCTCCTCTGGATCCCCTTCAGCCTCCGGCTGTCCCCTTCTTGGCCAAGAGGCCAAGAGAGGTGAGGAGAGAGACAGGGTGGGAGGGGAGAGAGAGGCAAGACATCTGGTTAGCATTTCAGGGGCTGGTGGCTGCCCGGCTTCGGCCCCCACCTCCAATCCATCAACCTCCTCCTACCCCGCCTCACCTGCGCGACCGGCCCTGGGGCAGCCTGTCCTTCACACCCACCCAGAAAACTGTTCTCTCAGCTGATGGATTCAGCTACATGGACTGCTTCTCCCCTTTGGACTGAACTCACTTCTCCTCTGCAACCTTCTCCAAATCCTTTCTCCTTTTCAGCTGTCACTTACTGAGCACCTACTATGTGTCATAGTCTTGTCAAGTGCTTTGCAGGGTTTCTCGACCCCAGCACAGCTGGCAGTTTGGATGGGGCTTCATGGTCGGGGGTACCCTGCGCACTGTAAAGGCCAAACGGTATCCCTGGCCTCCACCCAGTAAGTGCTAGAAGCACCCTCCGACCTCCTGCACCCATCAGAAATGTCTCCGGACACTGCCCAACATCCCCTGGGGCAAAAGTCACCCCCAGTTGAGAACCACTGATTTAGACCATTGGCTCTGAAACCAGACTGCCCAGGTTCAAATCTTGGATCTCTTTCTCATCGGCTGTGAGGCTCTGGGCAAATTACTCAGCCTCTCTGTACCTCCGTCTCCCCAACTGTAAAGTGGGAGAACAAAGGTTTTATGAAGACCAATGGGCCTCTGCCCTTGCTATTCCCTCCCTTTGGACGACCCCTCCCCACAGCAGCTCAATCCATTGCTTCTACTCCGGGTCACGCACCATCCTATCTCCTGTCGAAGACCTTCCTTGGCCATGCCCTGGCCCGCCCTCCCCACCCCCGGCCCTGTGGCGCCGCTGTGGCTGCGTCTTTCTCCCTAACTCACCGCCCCCGACGCATGGTGCAGTCTTCGTTTATTGATCACCTTTCTGCACAAAGAAGGTAAACTCCGTAAGGACGCGGAGTTTTGTTTCGTTCACGGCTGAAGCCCCTGGGCCGAGGACAGGTCCAGCCACAGTGGGGGTTCAGTTAAAACCTGCTGGGTGATGGCGAGCCTGCCCTGAGCACCGTCCTAACTGTCCCCAGCCCCCCGAGGTGGATGCTCCTGCGGTCCCTGCTTTAACACTGAGATCCGAGGCACAGAGGCGAAGGGATGCGTTCACGCCTGTGGAGTCGGACAGGGAGAGAGCCAGGCTTTGACCCCCGGAGGACCTCGTCGTACCTCCACATATGAGGGATACGCCAACCCGCTCAAGAGAGCGCGTGGGAAAACTGACACCGTGCATTCCTGTGCGGGTCACCCTGACACATGGGGAACCGTGCGTGTCCTCGTGTCTATGTTCCCTTCATTCCACCATTTGTTCTTTCACTAATTTGCACCTGCAGCGCCACTCCCCTCTCCCCTCCGGCCCCACAACATTTCTGTTTCTCTGTGTAGAACAGGCACAGAGGCCAGAGAAAGGTCCCGAAACGCACACATGCTCACTCAGAACGAGACTTCCAGGCACAGGGACGTCCGTCCTCCGCTCACACACACCCACAAGCACAGCCATGTGGCCGGGGACAAAACACCGGACCCCTGCCTGCGATTTCTACCTCCCCTCTGAGCCCTCTGCTGGAGACTCCCTCCGCTCACCACCCCCCACCAGGGTCTGACACCTGTCTCTTGGAAAAGAGCAGGACTGAAGCATGACAATAACTCAGTCCCCGAGGGGCTCGGGAGGCGGTTTGGAGAGGCGGGCTTCGCATCTGAGCCCCTACACACCCACTGCCCTGTTTGGGCCCCAGAGCAGCTGTGAGCCACCACACAGGAGAGCCTGGCTTTTCAATCAGCGGCCTAGGCGCGGTCACGGGCACGCTGTCCTTGGGCAGGTCGGGTAGCTTCTACCCCACGGAGCTCTCGAGACAGTTAAATGACAGAACGTTTACCACACTGCCTGGCACATAGTAGATGCCAAACAAAAGTAACCACAGCCACTGCGGGGAAAGACCTCCTGCACTCCCCACATGTGCCCAAGCCAATGTCTTGTGTGTTCCCTCGACATGCCACCTTCCCCACCTCATGAGTCCCCAGCTGGGGACCACAGTTGTACCCAACCACACCAAAGAGGTCCAACATCTAACCTGTCCACGGGCCATCTGTTGCTCATGCAGCTGCAACAGCCCCCCAGGTGACTGTCCCGGTGCCTTCCCGGTGCTGTGCCCCAGAGCCCCTCTCTGTCCCGCCAGATGACCTTTCTCCCACCTGTCCATTCTCACTTCCAGATGTCACCACCCTCAGACCTCTCAACCTGCCCTGGACTCTCCCCTCCTCTCTGAGAGGGAGGGGTGGCCCTCTCCTTGCCAAGACCCATGTGCCATCTGTTCTCCCCATCCTACCTCCTCCCACCCCGTGTCCTCTCCGGACCTTGAATCTGCCACCTCTCCATCTTCCGGTTCTTTCCACTCCTTCTGCAAGTCTGCTCAAGGCTTCACTTCTTCCACCTCCCCCTTCAACCAACACATTTCTTTGGAGAACAGCCTCTCCCACCACACCACCGACCACGCACTCCCCTCTCTTGCGGCGTCGCTTCCACGCCGCCACTCGTTCACACGGCTTGCTACACCAGTGCGAGGACTGCTCCGACCACAGCCACGCACCAGGGCCTCCGCTCAGCCCCCAGCTTCTGAAGGGTGGCGCTTTCATTCACCCAAGAAACATCTAGCGAGTGCCTTCCCGTTCGGTGGAAAGCCCCCGTGAAGATGCTAAATGCACTTCTAAGCCTGGTCTCCCCTGCGAAGAGAGGCTTCATCCTCCACGGTTACAATGCTCCACTGCAGAGGCCTGGAGCGGCGTCGCTTGAACTCTGGGTATGGCCACTGTGATACACAAATAAATGGAGTTCGAGTGACCTAGTTTTGGCCACCCACTCACACTTGCTGCACCCAAAACTCAAAACTGTGTGGCTTGAACATTCTCCAGCGAGGCCCTAAGTCCCTCCTCTCCCCACTTGTGCAGAGCATTGTGCGTGGCGTTGCCAGGGAGGGAGCGTGTGGACGGCCGGAGTCCTGGAGGCGCGGCAAACTCACGGGCACTTAGGGAACCAACACCACTGTGTGCCAAACACCGTGTCTGATGCTGGGGACGCCGAGCAGGAGCGGCGCGGTCCCTGCCTCCATGGAGCTTACAGTTCAGAAAGGGAGGCAGACGTTACACAGGTGACCATGTGGACGAATCGCAAGTGTGTTAAGTGCCTTGAGGAGCAAGTACAAGATGCAATGGAAACACCCACTGCAGGGGCCAGAGGGAGGGGGACGGACACAGGCTACTGATCAGTTCATCCTTTGAACCACAGCCACCGCAGACCCCTCCCCCTTTGTCCTCTGAGAGTGTGGATTCTAGCAGGTTTCCTCTGTCTCTCTGACCACGGCTGCCGGATTTGGGATGCTGGATTCCCTGGATGCTGGATTCTGCGTCTCCTCTGGACTGTCCCCTTGCTGATTTCATTCCCTTGCAGCAGCATGAGGACCACCTTATGTGAACCCCGTACCTCAGTCTGTAGCCTTTAACTCCGCCAAGAGCAGTATTGCCAGCTGCACTCTGGACGTCACCGCCTGGATGGTGAGCAAGGCGCCCTGAACGCAAGCTGACCGAAACTGAACCCACACCTGGTCCCACATTCCCCACTCAACGCCTTCTGACTTGTGTGCCCAAGCTTCGCAGTCACCTAGGCTCAGAATCCCAGGACCTCTCTGACTTCCCCCCTCTCCCATCAATGCCAAGTCATATAAAGCCTTTGCCCTTCATATCTCTTATATCTCTCCCTTCTTATCCCTTTCACACCCAACCCCCCTCATTACCTCAAGTCTAAACTATTTTAACAGCCTCCTACCTGGTCCTCCCGCTTCCAACCTACCAAATAAGCCATTAACAGATTAACTATCCTAATTTATCACTTCAGACCAAGATAGTCCACCCCTACTAACTATTCCACATGAATAGTCACAAAAGTACACAAAGATATGCATGAAGAGGTTTCCCACAGTATCATTTACACCAATGAAATGATGGAATTAACTGTCCATCAACAGGGGACCAGTTTACAAAATGACACATCCCACAGCAAAATACTGAGCAACTGTTAAAAAAGAACCATCTAGATCCACATATACAGTAACATAGGAAGAATGCATCAATGTACTAAGCTAAAAAGAAACATCCTGTGGGATGGTATATAAAACATTATACTGTTTTTGTAAAGCTATAGAGCTCTATCTTCATCTTTATCTTTGTTCACAGACACAGAAAAATCTGGGAGGACATGAACCAGACTGTTAATGGGGAATAACTGTAGGGAGAAAGGTTTTTAAATGACAACAAACTCACAACTCTCAACAACTGAACCTTAAAGAACCTAAGCAAACAACTAGAACAGCAACAGAATCACATGGTGATGTCATGGAGGGTATCAGCAAGGAGGGGGTCGGGGGAGGATGGGGGAAAAGGTACAGGGAATAAGAAGCATAAATGGTAGGTACAAAATAGACAGGGGGAGGGTAAAAATAGTGTAGGAAATGGAGAAGCCAAAGAACAGATATGTACAACCACGGACATGAACTAAGGGTGGGGGAAATGCTGAGGGGAGGGGGGTGCAGGGCAGAGGGGGAGAAAGGGGAAAAAATGGGACAACTGTAATACCATAACCAATAAAATATACTTAAAAAAAGAAAGATTTTTAGAGGACATATGTGGAAGATCACTTTATAACCTTTTCATTTAAATATAAGATGTACAGACAGAAGTGCACAAACCTTAAGTGGACAGCTTGATGAATTTCCACAAACTAAACATGCCCACGTAACCAGCACCCAGGGGAAGAATCAGAGCTTTTCTAATTCAGAGGGTCCCCAAAGCCCACTTCTGCCGCCTTCCAGTCTCTATCTTTCTCTGCAAGGGTAGCTGCTATTCTGATCTCTAACACCAGATATTAGTTTTGCCTG